TTAATGATGTATGCAGACGATATGGTGTTATTGGCCGAAACCTCTGAGGGATTGCAGAAAATGTTAGATACTTTATTACTTTATACAAATAAATGGAATCTTACGGTTAATACTTCTAAAACCAAGGTGATGGTTTTCCGTAACGGAGGTAAATTAAGAGATAAAGATAAGTGGTACTTTGATGGAGGTGTTTTAGATATTGTAGATGAATTTAATTACCTGGGTATATTAATGAATTTTAATGGTAAATTCAAAAAAACTCAACAAAAAATCGCTGAACAAGGAAGAAAAGCATTGTTTTCAGTATCAAACGTGTCTAAGAAAAATTATTTTAACGTTGAAACTCAGCTTCATGTTTTCGATACATATGTCTGTAGTATTTTTAATTATGGAGCGGAAGTTTGGGGCTTTCATAAAGCACCAGATATAGAGAAAATACATTTAAGTTATTGTAAAAGATTATTAGGGGTTAAGAAATCTACTGCAAATTTTATGGTTTACCAAGAATTAGGAAGATTGCCTTTGGAAATTATTAGGAAATTTAGAATTTTTAAATACTGGTTAAAATTAAAACAAACTGACAATTGTGTTTTACATGCATGTTATCAAGAAATGTTAGAAAATGGTAGTGAATGGATGAATGGAGTAAGAAACGAACTATTTAGAATGGGAGTAGGGTACATATGGCAATATGGAGATACCTATACATCCGATTATATTATAAATATTATTAAAAGCAGAATGTGTGATATATTTACGCAAGAATGTAAAGAAAAAATAGATTCATCTTCTAAGTGTTCACTGTACAAGTTTATTGGCGAAAATTTCTGTTTACAACCATATTTAACAAAACCCATAGGAAATACAAATCTGAAAGAAATTACAAAAATTAGACTGTCATCTCACAAATTAAATATTGAAATTGGTAGGTATAACAATGTAGATAGGATTGAAAGAACATGTGCATACTGTAACAGTGGGGATATTGAAGATGAATTTCATTTTATAAAAAAATGTGAATGGTTTTTTTAGATTTAAGAAAGCGTTTTATTAAGAAATATTACTATAAAAGACCTAGCATGTATACATTTATCTAACTTATGAAAACAGGGAACAAAAAACAGTTAACAAATTTAGCCAAATATATTAAACTGAGTAACAAGAAAAGAAAAGACAATGTACCTATATAAAGAGGGATGTCTCTCTACACTATACCAATGGGTATGTGAGTGTGTATTTGTGTGTGTGGGTGTATTTGTGGGGGTGTATATGGGTGTGAGTGATTGTATTGTTTATCCTTGTATATATGTTTATTTTGAACTGATGAGCCGTAAGGTTCAAGGTAATAAAGAACGGAACACACTGAGCCATCAAATTTGCTTTGACATATTCCAGGGGTGGAGAGAGCGAAAGTGGACGGAGCATCTGGAATATCGAGGATGGGTGTCAACATACTTTAGAGGTTACAGATATTGATCTGTACGACGCTGTGTTTTATTTTCTGGTTTGTGTATTTGAAATTGCATCATTCCACGATTTCGGGTACATTTGTAAGAGTGTTTATTATGTTAATTAGTTCTACATTAATGTCGTTGGCTTTTTCAGGACAACATTTTAAGAGCTTGTAAGACGGATTGTTATTAAATAGACTTTTAAAAACGGTGAATTATTTTCCAGTGTCTAAACGATTTTCCTGAATAAAGGTTTCGTGATTTTTTAATTATTTGCCCAAAATGTACCTGTGCAATTCGAGAAACTGCTAGTTGAAAATTGTTCCACAGGAATGTTTATATTCCCGTATTTGTTAAACTCTCAGCTGTTTTTACCTAAACTTGGCATTTTTCTTGGGGAAGCCTTGTAGTCTTTCATTATATCCCAGACAGTTCTGCTATTTTTTCAATCGTTTATATGAGTTGCAAAACAATTTCAGTAGTTTTCTGTACCGTTCTTTTAAATTTATTTATTTATATGTAGTTTCACAACAAGGTGAAAGGTTAATCTATTCTAGGTCTTTTCTACAGTTGTTTTTCCATCATTGTTTTATGTGTTTACACAAATAGGTCTATGCCACACACTTGAACTTTGACCTTTTGTTATTGTAGTTATATCGGAGGTAGGTTTAAAGTGCAGTAATAATGACAAAACAGTGGTTTTTCATTCGTTTGCATCATTATTGAATGACTCTTAAACCGCAAATGGGATTATAAGTCTGTAGATGCACGGTCATTAATCTAAATATTCAAAAAAGTCATGATTTCACTCTCGGCAGAGGTGAGGAGGGACATGATAACTTTGAGTTTAACATATACATTTGGGATGACATTTTCAGTTCTTAATTAAGAAAAATAGAAACTATAAGAACGCCAATTAGAATTCAAGTACGATGTTTATCCTTTGTCACTTCGTGTTTTCTTGTGTTATTTTTGTAATATTTTTCTTATTTATTAATTTAGAAATTTGTGTAGAAATTTAAAAAAAAAAAAAAAATGTTGCATAACGAACCTCCTTCGGAACCCCATCGTTCCAAGTTTTCCCCGGTATAACATTATAGGTGCTGACGAATATTATTACATATTCTGTTAGTGTTATTATTTTACATAAAAGATAGAACGCTCTCATTACGAATTGTATCATATTCCAATACAATGAGATGATATTGATGCATGTTAAGGTGTATGTTGATACGTGATAGATGGGGTATACAAAGGGCAGCCAAACGAGCATTAGGGACACTTATTGTGTAATTGACCTTTTTTTGTTGAAACAGTATGTAATTTTGAATAAATTTATAACTAGTTGAAGTTTTTAGATCGACCTTCAACATCATTTCTAACCTTTCGATGTACAAAACCAATACAGAGAGAAATGACAAAGCACTTGAATTTGTCGATTGTTATGTATTCTTTTACAAAATCAAATTTTTCTTGAAAACTTGTAACAAAAAAATATCAGAATATACACTATGAATTTCATTTTGATTAATAATTTGGTTTTTACTGATATAACAAATTTATTTTGAAAACGGAAAATTGTAGGATTTAAATGTTCATCTTTAGAAAATCCGCACATTTTAATCACTTCGTAATTCTTGTAAGCACGACGATTTGCCCCAATATTCAATTGGAGGTTATACAAATATTGTTTTAATTGTAGATCAAGATGTTATCGTTATCCTCTGGTCAATGTGAAAATTGATGTTACGGATCTGTTCATGTAATTTCATAGAAATCAACACGGTTATATAAATATCCAGTAATAGTTTGACTAAAAGGACATGAGAATGTACTTCAAATGAGATATGCAGTCAACATACATCATATCCCCTGTGTGTGTTACGTGCATCTGTCCAAATATAAGGTGGTAGACTCTGCTGGTGGATTTCTTTGTGTCCGAGGTTTGCCGTATCCTTGATGGCCACAGTTATCTCTTCCGAGTAGAGGCACAATTCATAACATCTACACTTTACTAATTATTTTGAAATTAACCAGTACTCCTCTTAATCTTTAATAATATTATTTATTAATCTATTTATAATTATATATTTTTTTATTCATAAATAATATAATTTTTCTATGAATGAATAAATTCACAAATTAGAGTTTTTCTACGCACTTCCTCTTCTCTTTCCACAGTACGTTTTGGTCCTAGCATCACCAATGAGTCCTTAAAGGTTTAAACGGCTGATGCAGCGTATTTCATATTTGGCTTACTGTATCTATAATCAAATATTAAAGGCGAAATTACCTGTGTATTTTGCGTTCAACCTTCATAGATACACAAATGAAAACAAAATAAACTATAAATGGTGTTTTTGACGACTTTTTTAATTCCGTGTGATGTACAAAATTCTATATAATATGACACTGATATATTCCATTGATACATATTTGTATATAACAACACCCATCACATACGTGCTATATATATATATATATATATGAGGGACATTGAAGTCACTATTACAATATGCATACTACACTATTTCATTCCGTCAACTATGAGCGAAATAATTCGCATTCAATAGTTAATTTATTAATATTAATATATTTTGAATATTTATTATCAAATAAATATGATCTTGATTGATTTTGGTGTTTTTAATATAATATTTTTAGTATTAACATTATTGAAACACACATAAAAGTTTCTATATTTTATACGATTAACAGTCAGAATAATTAAAGATTAAAGTTATAAAATTCGGTATTTTCCTGCACAGTAAACATATATTGTTTCTCTTGCCACGCTTATGACGAAACAAAACAAATAGTAAAAATACTTCCAGAATCAGAGCAGCATTGTCTGTAAGGGATGACGTCAGAGTGCATTGTGACGTCATAAACATAATGATATTACCAAGAACATATCACATGGGCTTGGAGTATTAAAGAATATGTGTATATCCGCGCGTTCTTTTTTAGTTGTACTTTTGAAAATTATCAAAGTTTTCGTCTTTACTGATAATTCACGAAGCTATCAAACAAAAATAGAAGCATGTTAATTTTCTTAAGTTGATAGTTCAGGGAACTGAAAACAAATTCACACCCATGTTTTTAGGGAAAAATGAATTTAGTTATGACGTCATGTAAGAATCATTTATAAAAAGGAAAATCATCTACATAAAAGGTTGTAATACTGGACCTTTGGTAATTTCACATAATTTTCATCATAAGATGTTTAATACTGGAACATGTCATTCGATAGCAGACTCGCGAGAAATAAGATTAATCATCAGAAGGTCATCAAACAAATACCCCCAAGTTAACAATACACGAAATTAATGAAATTTAAGTATAGGTGAAATAATTGTGAAAATGGAGCTTGGTTTATCTATGACGTCATGTTATATGAATAACGTCAGTATATTCTGTCTTTGCGTATTGCAGAGTTATCTTCTCTTGTGATCAGATATTGGTTGTTACGTCATTGGTTTATGTGAGAAAATTACGTCGTTTTCTCAAAAATTGATGACGTTACTCTCACAAACAAATGACGTAACAATCAATACCTGCTCACAAGAGCAGTTAACTCTGCAATACGAAAAGACGGAATGGTCAACTTCGTCACTTATGCATTTTTCATAAGAAATTACAATTACTTCACTTACATTCACGTATTCCTGCAATTACGTCGTAAATCACAGTGCAATGAGAACTCGCCGCGAATCACTACATGACTTCGTTACTTATGACGTCACGTCGTACATTATATCAGGTTGTGTCATCATTTATATTATTTGATCAGTGCACGTGATACACTCGTGCACGTCTATTTTCAGTATTTATATAATAATAATGTAATGATTATTCACAATATCAAACCCAGTATTTAAATTACACAGACATATGTCCATTGTTATGCAATGTATTTACAATGTATTACAATACTGTTATCTATATCACACGTTACAACACGAATTACCATCACACATTTACATCCTGTGTCTATTGCACTTTTGTTACTGCCCACCACATACAAAATATCGGATTTCGTGGACCATTATTTTTGCGGGTAAGTCTCAACGACTTCACACAAGATAATGTCAATTATCCGACATAAATAACATTTCATATTAATTTTTATTGTTATAATAACACTTCAATTTGACAAAAAATTTGTCTCCCTATGGAAAGATTATTTTGGGAAATTCTTATTACGTCACATACACTTTCCTTTAACTGATCAGAAATTTATTAATTTTTCATGTCTTTTATATCAAAACAACAATCATTTTGTCTTCTTGCGTGACTATTTAAAGTGAAATTGTAGTCAGTGATCAAGTTAGCATTCCCTAAATCGTGTCTCAAATTAATTTATTGGAGGAAAATTGGTAAATATTTCATTGAAAATTGATGTAATTTTTTTAAAGTATATATGTTCAAATATTTAAAAGCCATAATATTCCAATTCTTGATATGAAAATTAAAAACAGTTAAAACATTTAAATAAACAAAACTCGTTATACTATATGAACAAACTAGTGTATTGATCAACAGATCAACATTGCAGGTTAATTCAATTTTTTGAAATCAGTATGCTGGAATATTAAGGTGTTTTCTGTCAATAAATTGCGTGAAATTAAAAAAACACTTTCGTCAATTAGTTAGTTTTTTTTTATAAACATTTATCTGTTGTTTAAACATTGCGTGTTTCATATGATAATATGGATTTCCTTTAATTCATGTCCTTGTAAGGAAAATAATCTTCATGATTTTCGACAGTTTCATTAGTCTGTTGTATCTTATGTTCTTAAGGGTGCATGCTACCTTACTGTGAAATTTTCTCAATCCAAAAGAGTTCCATAATCAGAATCACTTTCTCTCTTGAATTTTTATTAAGACTGGCTTGATCAGTTGATGTCTTTTTGGAATATGTTTTTTTTTAATTATCAGAGCTTCAGTTAATTAAGAGAGATCATTTTCAAGAAAATCACAAATATAGTGTGTGAGGTAGCAGATATCTTCAACACAAGTACTAGATTTGACACCGATGTTCTTCTGGTGTCAACGTTTATCTTGTATTACGCATTTACGTATTGTCATAACTTATTAGTTTGCAATCAAATATGAATACAATTTCATACATCAACTATTACTCGATTGATACTCATCGGCGTCACACACAATGTAGCTGACAACACAATGGTACAAGAATTACGTCACATAATGTATACATGACGTCATATTATGCATTTAACATCACGATGATGGATATATCCAGTCTTATTGTGTATGCGCAAAGTTACACAATAAAGTTGTTACTGACAAGGAGATGCCATGGTGTTCACGACTCTTTGCTTATTTCTTACGTCATGAATTGAAAATGACGACACGGTTTTACATATAAAACGAGTCATTGCAAAGACATGACGTTACATTATACAGCTTATGACACAATACTCTGTAAATGACGTCATATTTTGTAAAATGACGTCACACAATGAAACTGACGGCACGATTGTAAAAAAAACGACGTCTCACGTTTTATGCATGATGCAGCTCACATCGAGAGGCAAATTGTTGAATGACGTCACATTATGTATGAATGGTATCTTGAAAACGAATGATGCTGTTTGAGGACTAAAGTCTATTGGTCTTTGCATAACTACACAGCTGCATAGTACTACAGTTACAACACACATCTATACGCCTACTGCTTCTACAGTGTTCGTCCAATTCGGACGTAGTCTAGTTATCTCCCTTGATTGTAGAAGATAAACCTTTTCTCTTGGTGACGTTTTTTTACATGAAAACTCGTGTAATGTTATTGCTGTATTTCCCGTCACCTTTTTTCACAGGTAACAACGTATTCACTTTGTATTCACTTCCATAGGCTCTTTAGAGATTTACATTGATATGAAATCTCCCAGAGGCCTCAAATATGACAACAGTTATCTCCCTTTCAACAAATCTCCATTAAAAAAGGCTACAATGTTCTAAGAACGTCACTATGGGAAATTCCTTAAACGCCTTATATTGGAAGGACTTATGCTCCTTTTCCTAGGCATTTCCTAAAAATGACGACTAACATTTTTGTGTCACTCCACAGCATGAGAATCCATGGGGAGATAACTCTCAGGCACGATTTCCATTCCTGTTGACGCTTCGCCACTTCTTGAGGCTTGTTTGTGTAATAATGCGGATTTTACGATCAGGATTCATACTCGATCCCCGATCGCTCCGCCATTGAGTCTGACGTCAGTCCAGTTCGATGCGTTCTGGCGGTTTATATCGTTTTTAGGTGTTAACAAAATGTGCATTTTCTGAAATAGAAATGATATCAAATGTATTCTAATACTTACTATACAATTCAAAGCATATATTAGCATATGTCGAAGTAGAATGTAAAGTTTGTCTCGAGGTTTATTTGCGGTTCCATTTCATTTCTTTTTAATTCTACACTCTTATATTTGGAGTGCCTCTGTTTAAACTTCCAATGACGTCACAATTTACTAAATATAATATTGCTGGTTCTTGCTCAATATAACTTTCAAACCTTTGTTATCTTGATTCATACAATATAACCTGCTTATACGTCACTGAAAGGACTGACATATCAAATGCATGCAAGTTTAGAATATATTTTTAAAATCACACACGATTTCGTTTAAATACAAGTGTTTCGTTTTCGAAAGAATGTTAAAAATGAAAAAAAATACATATTTTTTTATTAAAGATTAGAGCTAAATTACACTCAAATATTGCCCAATACGCACCAGAGCGCTTCTAATTTTCCTTTTTTTCCTGGGGAGGAGGTTTTTAGAAATAATCTGTTTCTATTTCAAAAAGTCCAGATAAATGAGGTACTACTAAACACAGGATGGATTAACCATGTTATAGAGAAAACAGACGAGATTATCGAGGATCTCCTGGACACAATGGGCAGTCAGGCGGCGCAGTGGATAGATTGTGGTTACGTTCATAGAAGCCTTTCACCAATCGTATTTAATAGCCATTGAAATTGCAGGGAGTGTCCAAACTCATTGAAATGCCGCTTTTTATATATAGTCTGGTTGAAATATATTTATTTCATTGAATTGTTTCTTTCTTCTTCTTATCAATTTTACACGAAGTACACTTTTTACGTGTTTCTTAGATTGCAGGTTACAGTTATTAACACACATATTTTATTAAGTCTCATACTTTAAGACAATGTAAAATCTCTGCTGCTCATGATTTTTTCAGGTACAGCATATTAATCACTTATCATATATGTTTACTGACAATGACAAAAGATCACGTGATGAAAATCATAACACAACAGTAGAGAGATTATATCTAAGTTTAACAATGCACGTATTAAACGTGTCGCAACGTTTCAAGACCGACCGGTCCCTTTGTCAGGCTTTGACTCAGTCATAGTCTGACAAAGGGATTATTCATAGCTTGACAAAGGGACTAGTCGGTCTTGAAACGTTGCGATACATTTAACACGTGCATTGTTTGTGTAGAAAGTAAAATTCTGATATTACATATTTCCAAACTGATGAATCTTATTGAATACAGTAGAGATGTTATTATTTACTTACCTCTGAAAAGGTACCAGGAGTCGTTAATAGTCCGTAGATTGCAAACCCAGGTATACACAAGATGGATGAGAGAGCGACGCACCAGCCGATCATGTTAGCTTGCCAAGGGTAAACGTAATCCTCATAAGTCAACGGCTCGTACGTTACTAGGCCGAAGAGCATGATGAACTACAACAAATCGAAATGAAGTTTAGCTTATTCCGTCTTTGCGTATTGTAGAGTTATTTTCTCCTGTGAGCAGGTATTGATTGTTACGTTATTGGTTTGTGTGAGAAAATTACGTCGTTTTCTCAAAAATTGATAAGGTTACTCTCACAAACAAATGACGTAACAATCAATACCTGCTCACAAGTGCAGATAACTCTGCAATACGAAAGGACGGAATAATCACTAGAAATTTTAGGAAATGAACCAATATCAAAACTTCGTTTGTAGATGAAGATAATTTGTTCTTCTTTATGAATAAAAAAAGGTCACATAAAACATGTTAAAAACATGAACAAAGTCTATTTTTTCTGAACATCTGTGCTAATTAAATCAAATTCCGATCTGTTTTAATAATCAATTAAGAATTTTCCCTAGTGTAACAGCAAAATATCTTCCAATGATTGCAGATATCTTTAAAAAATAGTTTATTATGTGAAAATCATGTTTTCACGTCTTTTTGTACAGTTATTATTGTAATGGAAAGATTATCTAATATGCTTCAAATTTATTTTGTATGTAAAACAAATTGTTCGTATAAAGTATGCTATTTTCAGTATTTTGTCACATGGCACTATAGCAAAAAATATGTACTGTATGGTATTGTACTTACCAGTAAAAACACCGGAGCGACGTACTTCCAGCAGACTCTCCAGTAGTGGCCCGGAGGGAACCCTACCATCAGCCGGATGTCTTCAGAGAATCGCTCAACACCTGCAGAAATCGAGTAAGTTCACGTGATTTTTCATATAATGTTTTTTACTTATGATGTTGACTATATGAACCCGTCAAATGAAAATATCGATCATTAGTGTGAAATGAAACATGATCTTAGAATTGACTATGAATTTAAACTTAAAGCGCTGCAATAATGATATTTATCTTTTCTGGAATATATAAAAAAAAAAAAAATGAAATAAAAATTATTATCAATTGAAAAAGTAAAATCAAGCTTGCTATTTATTGTCAAGTCGAATATCAACCGAGAGGGTAATTATTCAGCATAAAACACATGAGGTCGTGTTCAGTTGGTTTGATTTTAATTTCAATCTTCCTAAAATTCACCGACAGACAAATATCGGATTAAAAACGCCGTCATACATTTTTTTTTTACAGTGAATCGATGACGTCATTGCATTGTTACTTGTAACGTCAGAGTATATTTTGTTGTTGTATCAAGTAAATTATCACGGGACTTTTTCGCGGGAGTGCTATATCGTGGTATCACCACGACAATGCAAATTTTCAGAAAGTAACAAGTTTCGAAACAAGATAAACTGAAGAGAAGGAAGATTAAGGCGTCCTTATGTCCGACATGGGATGTAGAGGGTACGTATTTATAAGTACGTTTCATAAAATTGAACTGCAAAACCTCCATTTTTATATAAGTCATTTTAGTCAAAAACCAGTCAATGGTGTATAATTTTTTGCATAAATTATTTTGCGGATTTATGCGTCCCATTTTTGCTGTATGCTTAAATAGACCTTATACTAATTGAAAAGGAATGGTTTAACAAAGCATGTTTTCTGTCAGATAATGTCCTATACTGATTAAGGTATCAATCGGACTTACCGTACGCCCACGACACGACAAGTGTCTCAAAAAACACAGCCCACAGTATGGAATAACCAGCCGCGAATTTGTCCATCAGTTGTACCACGAGAGCGCCGCCCTGTGGTGAAAGGTGAAATATCATTTTAGCATTCGAATAATGTTAATCACTCAACCTATTTTCGAGATATTTTAAAAACTGATGTTTTTATTACTTCAAATAAAGAAAAGTCCTGAAAAATGGAGTGTTTTCTGATGATTATTTAATACCATTAGTATTATAGATGGGATACAAGTATTTAAAACATTTCTTGATATAAGAGTATCAATCGCGGTATTACATGTAAAATAACGAGTAACACGTGCTTTTCTTGTTTAAAATTATTCATGGTTTTAGACAAGGTGCTTAATTTACATAAGTCTTTCTATCTACAAAGTACCAAAAGAATCACATTAAGAATTTGATAGATTTAATTAATTTCCAACCTATATTAAATCGTAATGGCCTTAATATGAAGGTTTGTCTAAATACAAATTGTTCGGAAAATTATATGTTATGAGTGAATATCTAAGCATTAAACAGTGTTCTGTTCCGTGTTATGGTCCTATAACACGGAACAGAATGCTGTTATATGCTTATATTTACATTTTTCATTTTTATATTTTTAATATCTAAGTTAACAACGCACTTATAAATTCTAATTTCGCGGTGTTTGTTGAAAAGGTAGAGCAGCACATGGAATTGTTCACAAAATGTTGTATCCTGAGTTTTCCCGTAAAAAATTCGTGGAAATATACACAAAAAATATTGATACTTTTCCAAAAATAAATAAATAAATATATTCAATTCACATTTTATAACAGTCTTATATAAAACGATGAATATTATTGAATCATAGTGTTTGTTATAGCGATCCGGTAGTAAGTCGGACCCGTGGAGATATCACTACGCCTGTGTTATGGTCTCATGATACGGGACTGGCTTTGGTAGTGTTATATAGTGGCAAAGCAGAGCAAATGTTAATATATTTCTATATAACATGTTAATCATAGCTACGTTATCAACACCTTTGTATGACGTAGTACTCACCTCTGTACAGAACGATAAACCAACTATGAAATAGACGGAAAATAGAGCTCCCACAAATAGCTCCCTGTGTTTGCGCAGGATCGGAAATTCATCGGATAAAGCAGTCAGAATAGCTTCAGATCCGCCAAACTGAAAATCACAATCACAATATTAACTAAGTGGAGGTAAAAGTACACTCTAATTCTTCTATGGGGGTGATGCCTATCCTAGTTCAGCTGGGAGGTTGGGTTACCACATAATTTATTGTAAAAAACAAATAACCACATATTTTATACCAACATAACCTGTCTCCTGCATACACACACACAGGCACGCATACACAACACTCATGCAGGCACGTTCTTAAATGACCTCAGCTGTTAATAGGACGTTAAATAAAATTAAACCAAACAAAACAAAACATATTTTACAGTTTAGTTAAAGTTTAGAGTGACCAATTTTAATTGAGTACGGATATTTGTTTCCCAAAATATCCAAAGAAAGGTAACTGATCAAAAATATTAAGTTTGCATAGTTAATAATTGACATTAATTGAATAACCATATATTTCTATTTTGATAAGATTGTATACAACGAATTTTTATAAATAAATAAATTACTCTTTAAATATGACTGCCAAAAATACGGGAAATTAATATGGAAATTAATTGCATCATTAAGATATCGCCAATTGTCGACAATTATCGACAATTGTTAATTTACAATTAATATGTATTACTCTGGTTTTAAAAGGTTTTAAATCCGTCAAACAAGTAGGGGGGAATGAGAGATTGTTGGAATGAAATATTCTTGCTACAATTCACACATTCACAAGAGTTATCCACCTTCCTTCAGCCACGTAACGGTTTTTGGAAATGATACTGATAGCGACTCTATGATAGGTATATATGAAAACTGAGATTAGCGTTACCATCAGGGTCAATTTCGTTCAAAGCGATCCAAACGGTTGAACCGGCTGGACCAGAGTTGTTCGTTTATGAAATAAGGTCGGACCTAGTAATCTGATGCTGCTTTCAGGCGAGCCTTGACAAAGCCTTGCAAAGGCCTGCATAAACCTTTGCAGGTATGCCAGGATTTATACCAAAAAAACATGTTACATTTAAGCGCAGACGAACCGGTGTTCCGCATAACAGAAATATTACTTAAACTCACATGATACTCTTAACAGAATAATAGTTGTTCGACAATTCTGTAATAATCGAGAATTAATCTGTTCAATTATGCAGTCTTTCAATCGAAACCTTTACACTACCAATTCTGCACATTACCAATATTGTTAAACAGGAATTACACTTGCACACAGCATCAAACTGAGAAGTCTATCAAGTTAATCGGTCAAGCCTATGAGAAAAAATATTCTTCAGAGATGAAAAAATATCAAGATAGGACGTCACCCAAAGCTAGAAAACCATAACGTTGTATAGGTTTCTTCATTTTATGAAAAGGAGCTCAGAGTAGAACTCTTTTCACGATTTTAACCTCTGTAGTGTTACCATTTAAAACAAAATGACCAATCACCCATTTTCTTAACACTTTCTTCATGTTGGTAAGTATGGATTTGTAAAAAGATTCACGTAGCACAACCAGAAAGTGTTTATATGTGACGTTTAGATGACTAGTACGGTAAGTACTCTGTCACCTTCATCACAAGTCACCCTGCTGTAAACTGTAAGCAAACATTCAGCCTCAGAAACATAGATGAACATGTTGGAACTATCTTAGATACAATTCAAATAGTTCTTTTTTTCAATATTATGCTGATGTACATTAGATATACAAATATACGTACCGAGCTGTCCAAACCAAGCGTCAACAACATCAGGAAAAATATGATTGCCCAAAATGGTGCTCCTGGTAACGTTGCAATGGCTTCTGGGTAAACTACGAAGACGAGGCCGGGACCTGTAAGAAGCGAAAATGACGATACAGGGTAGAGATACAGATACTATGTTTAGGTTTAAAGAAATATTAAATTCTGAAAACGATGTAGCAATTGATTACTAAATATCTATTTTTAATATGATATACTGCCTACAGAAGTAATTTTTGATGCTGACTTGTACATGGAATTCAACCTGTTTGATTTGAAACCTTAGGTTTCCGTCAGCCTGTCTTTTCCAACATAAAACTGTTACCATAAACACTTCAAATAAGACCTGTGTTTCCGAGCCCCTGATTAATCTCTCAAATATGTTTTTCCCCAAAAGGTTATGCAGTTCTAGGTCTAGAAATTCATAATGAGTTATTTTCTCTTTAATTGCAACTTCCTACAGTTAACGAAACCATTTTACACTTTTATTGTTTTTGATGATCACGATTGTAAACCTAGCAATTTTATCATTTGTTTGACAATGACGCAACCGCCGCCATGATGACGTCACTTACCGTCCGTTGCTACATCCCCGATATCCTGATTGGTCCGTTGAGCCATGTAACCTAATATCATGAAAATGACGAACCCAGAGAAGAAACTGGTCAAACAATTCACGGCACTCGTCACTAGGGCGTCCCTGAAAAATACAGACTTGTGACGTCACTCTCGGTAAACATCGGTAAACATCGGTATACATCGGTTAACATCTGTTTCTTTATTGGAAACAAGTTTTGGAAAGGCCGTTAAAGGTCATATCAACGAAGTTTCATAATCTTAATGGAGAGATATTTTAGCAAATATTAAAATGTTATATTTGATACTTTACTTTCGAGATTATTATTTATCATTTTTATCAACACTTCGAAAATAAGACAAAATCAATGTTCTCAAATCGGAATAATTACTAAAGATACGAAGCAGTTTCGGACCTTTTTCTTGTTTGTAGATGAAGAAAGCCAAACAAAATTGAATATTTTAAACGCTCTCGTTTTGAATGAGAGAAAAAGATACAAAATATATAATTTACGGACAAATAAAACCTGTAAAAGTCGTTTGCATTTTTCGTCTCAAGAGAGTATCAGTGAGAAAGTTCCATTTCTTTTTCTTCTGAAAACGCCATTCTCACAAAGCTGAATTTTACATGTTACTTTTAAGATTAAAAAATATTAAAAAATAATGCATTTCACTTTAAGATTAGAGAATGGTATAAAAATCAATGACACATCGAAACCCCTAAAGAACCCTGACATTGACCCTATGTAAACATGATTACATCTATGGCTCATAAAAATGATGTTTTATCAAATAAGCCAATTGCATGTTGGTCGAAGTTTAAAGTGTAAGGTGATGCCCAAAGGTAATCTCACGATGTTCAATTTAATTGCCGAAAACTAAATGACGGAAGCTTTTTTCCCCTATATTCACGTGGTAATTCTCGTATCTAAGATGGTTGTAACTGTCTGTGCAAGAGTTTTCTCGGTCAGCGTTATAACTTAAATGTCGCGAAGCAATAATGCGGTGAATACAAAACGTTCAGAGGATTTTGTGGATCATGGTTAATACGGCGCTTTGTTTAACGAACCGGAACTAGGAGTAAAAGGATTCATTAGTAAATCTTGTTACCATGCTCCGGGGCCGTTTCCGGTTGCATCTAGCCGACATTTTAGAACCGGCCGATTTAAGGCGTAAGATATATGTTTTAATTCTTGTTTAGTATCTATCGACAAGAACTTGTGTACTACAGCGATGTCGATTTAGCATTTGAAGACACTATTAACACTGGGCCAGATCTATTTTACGGATCGTTAAGCAGGACTTAATGGTCACGTTAAACTAATGGCTTACACTCGGTTAATCGACTGATTATAGAGATACTGCTGGACAAATTATTCGCTGTCAAGTTCTTATTTTAGTGTATCTATTCCCATATCCAATTTCCACAGTTCCACAGTTTTAATTGCGTAGGAAATGTTTCTGTACAACACTGTTGCTTTGTTTGTCCGGAAAAATGCGTTTTCCGGACAAACTTTCCTATTGTACTTGCCAATCATACTAATTATAATGAAAACAAAGTATCATGTCAAAATACTTTTACAAATACGTGAACGAGTTTGCCGTTTCCTTATAAACGAATTATCCTTACTGATATTATCCTTAAAATTATTCCTGAGTATAAATATCCGAACAGTGAGTGAAGTCCAGATCAGCGGTGCTTTAGTTGACGTAAATGATACAGTAGTTGTTTTATCCATGGCTTGCACTTCTCGAGAGGTAGCGTTATAGTCGTATTAATAAACATCTTCAAAATCCTGTTCCATCAAACACCGCCACATTTATTCTAATAAACCATTGACATTTATTTACTTGTAAATCATTTGCAGTGAAGTTATTGTTTTTGGAAAGGATAAAAATAACAACATTTCTACCGGGTGCTTTACAGTTCACATATAAAAGTCGTTAAAGATTCACAAAGCATATAAACGAATATAAATCTATAAGGTAAAAATATCTATAAGGTTTATACATCTGTAAGGTATGTATAAATATCTATAACGTTTAAAATTCTGTAAAGTATATGAACATATAAGTTATAAATGTCTATAAGGTATATAAATCTATAAGGTATATAAATCTATAAGGTATATACACCTCTAGGGTATATACATCTATAAGGTATATACATCTATAATTTCCTGCTCCCGCTTATTTTCTCAACGTGTAAAGGTAAGCACACTGCAAAGTTTTCAACTTATACAGAAACTAAAAAGTTTTCAACTTTTACAGAAACTAAAAAAAATCTACTTTTACATAAGCTACAGACTGAGGGCCCAAACTAAGTCTAAAACTTTCGGGATAATTTTTCACAGTGACACTAACGTAAAGCTCAGAGCTTCTTTGATAAACTTGCCGTTTTGTTTTTATGCAAAGTGCACACAGTTTATAATACGTGGGGTTATTGTCAAAAATATATTATATAGATATAATAGAAAAACAAATGGAATCCGTCTTAAATTTTTATAGCAAATATACACCTTTCTGTCCCCAGGCCGGGACATACCAAAGTCCTTAAAAATGTTAGTTGTTATTCCCTGTTTAATGTTCAGCATTTAGAGTAATGGCAACGACTGGTTCACCCGTTGTCAGTATAATGTGACCGGGCGGAATGCTGTGCTGGGTGACTTCGGCATGGTATTTCAGTGTAGTACAAGATCCGCACTATCAAAAGGAGGCAATCGCCCCAACATACCCTGTCTCCTACATACACACACGCAAGCACGCATACTCTACACACACGGAGGCAAGTCCTTAGATGACCTTAGCTGTTGATTGGACATAAACCCTTTCACCACTGTAGACCATAATGGACTCATCCAGATCAAAGCATGGTAGAGTCTACTGAAGCAACATAGGAGTGAAAGGGTTAAACAAAATTAAAGCAAACCAAATATTTACCCACCTGTAGACGTTGTTATTAAGTTTGTTGTAGCTGGCAAACGCCAACAGTACACCAAACCCGGGCCCTAGTGAGAAAAACACCTGCGTAGCTGCATCAACCCACACCTAGAGAAATTAGAAGATAGACATATATTAATACCAAAATATAATATTCAAATTATAAAAGGCTCCAGCGCACTTTAAAACCTTAATATGATCGCTAAAATGCGCAATAGGAAAGAACCTATTGGAACAATTAAGTGAGGTGATGCTGAAAGGAAAAGTGACATTTTACTGCATCATATGGCAATTTGGTCCATTTATGACTCAGAATTAAATCACTGCAACATATTTATGATCCTGCCGTCAATTTACAACTCATTAGTGGTACTTAAAATCACAAGGTTGAACATCCATGTATATTGGTTTAAAATACATAATACTACTACTAATAATAATAATAAGTCTTTATTTAAACTTGATTACATATTGAGTCAAGGACTCGTCTCCCATATGGTCAAGCATATTAAGAAAATGTACATTATATACAACGATGATAAAATAGTACTATGAATGGTAAATTGGTTACATAAGTTTACATGTACATTTTAAATCCACTATTATCACAGAAACAGCTCTAAATGAACAATGACCCGAGATTTCCAGCGATGGGGGAGAGCCCGGCCAGCATGGTAAGCCCAGGTATTACATTTTAACTATACAACAGTTAGATAAATAATGTGCTAAACAGCACAAAGGATGAGCACAATTTTAACTATACAACTATTAGATAAATAATGTGCTAAATTACACAAATTACACAAATGATTAGCATACATGTTTTTATCCTATAAAATACTGTTTGGCACAATTCTTAAAAGATAATGTACTTTTGCAGTTCTGTACATATGATGGAAATTATTCCATATATATGGACCTTGATATGTAAAAGACATTTTAAAAACATTTGTTTTAAAAGATAGCATATAAGATCCATTCTGTGTTGATGATCTGGTAGTTCTTGAATGGATATCGGATGTCAAAGTAAAACTGTTCAAGTAATCTGGAGCTAGGTTGTTTAAGACTTAGTACATTAAATACAGTGGTTGTAGGAAATTCGTATATTAAAAGGCAACCATTTAAGTTTACTAAACATTTCATTTGAAGGTGTACAAAAATCACATTTCAAAATAACTCTGGCAGCTCGTTTTTGCAGTTTTTCAATCTTTGCAATGTGGTTCTGTGTGGCATTTCCCCAGATATAAGAGCAGTAGTCAAAATTGGGATTAATGAAGCAATTGTAATATGTGAGACAAGATGATTGGGTCAGAAAAGGTCGAATGCGTCTCATTTGGAAAATTTGATAAGCAATCTTTTTTGCAGTATCCACAATTTGTTTATCCCAAGATAAACAATCGTCAATAGTAACCCAAAGAAGTGTTTCTTGTTTCACATTTTCTAAGTGTCTGTCATTTATAAAAACAGATAAATTTTCAGATTGTCTACATTTTCTTTGTGATGTTCCAATTAACATAACATATTTTTTGTGTTAATACACATTTTGTTTTCATCACACCATTTCTGAATTAATTTGGCGTCATAATTTAAACTGGAATTTATGTTTTCTATTGATTTGACATGTGTGTGATCAGCTGTGTCGTCAGCATACATGTTTATTGTTGATTTTTTTGTGATCAAGGGTAGAACATCCACATACAAGATGAACATGAAGGGCCCGAGAATCGATCCCTGGGGGACACCGACTGTGAGGCGTTGAGGATCACTTAATGATTTTTTGAAATTAACTGTTGGAAAACGATCAGTAATGAAGCTAGTAAAAAAGGTGATAATGTCTTTAGAATAACTATACAAGCTAAATTTGGCAAGTTATCTGTTGTGGTCTACAAGGTCAAAGGCCTTTCTAAAGTCTAAAACCAAACCCCCTGACAAGTATCCCTTATCAATGGAATCATACCACGTGTTTGTAATTTTTGTCAGTGCAGTCTGACAGGAATGTTGTATTCTAAAGCCTGATTGGCTTTTTAAAATTAGATCATGGCTGCATCAAAAGTTGTAAAAATGTTGATGAATATATTTTTCGAGACATTTGGATAGAATTGGTAGTACTGATATTGGTCGAAAATTACTAATTTGTTCTTTATTCCCTTTCTTAATGAGAGGACTAACTTTAGCGTTTTTCCAAATACTTGGAAAGGTATTAGTTTCAATACTGAAATTCAATAATTTACAAATTATAGGTGCAATTGCTTTGGTACAATATTTCAAAAATTGAGCTCCAATATTGTCAAGTCCAGTTGCTTTGGAAGTATCTATATTCACCAAAAACTTTTCAACAAACTGTTCCTCAACTTTTGTGAAATATTGATTATAAATATTACTAATTTCATCTGCATTTGTAATATCTTTACCTTTATGTTGAATAAATGTTGGAGATGCTATTTTAGTTTTAGGACAAAGTTTTTTTAAAGTGCTTCCAATAATCTTGGCTGGAATTCTTGCATTGCTCCAAGACTTCAGAAAAGTAGTTTTTCTTTGCATTTTTGATCATAAAAATAACTTTGTTTCTCCACTTTTTGTACATTTCTATGTTACCATCTTGTTTATTTCTAATAAGAATACCTATATTAATTTCACTATTCCACCACTCAGGAGTTGTGTGATATTTAACACGCTTTTCTCTAAGAGGAGCATACTTGCTACATCACGATATAGTTTAAGATAAATCACAATAATGTTTTTCATAGATATTGACTTTTCATGGTATAACGATCTAGGAAATGCCAAAACTATTCGGATCTTGCTTGTCAGATTACTCCTCAATTTCAAATCATGCATGATTAAAAATCTTATATTACAGGCATATATAACTAGCAAAGCCCACAATGTTTAGATGAGTTCATTAAGACATTTCAGAGTTGGCAAACTGCATGGAACTAATGTTTAAAACTCTAAACTGTCATTTGCATTGAACAGGCATCCCAATTAAATATAGATACCATACGGTTAACACATAGACACTATACCAGAATATAGATATATAGATTCATAGATATCAACTGGATGGACGAGTGTAACACACACACACATGGATAATTGCACTTATAAACTTCGTAATAGATACATTTACTGTGAAAATAAATTACACTGCATCATACAGATGTTACATCTTTTCTATAACCCGTCGGTGATGCTATGGTCCGAATTGACCCCAAGCGCCAAATTCAAACAACTGAAATCAAGAACCAGTTTAAAAAAAACAATGTTTAAAACTGAATCCAAACAGCAATTTATATCAGAATCACCCACCTCTGACTTGGCGAGTCTGGCAAAGTCCGGAGTGAGGTAGTATTCGATACCCTTCCCAGCCCCTGGCAGTGTGGCTCCTCGGATCATCAGGATGAACAGAACGACGTATGGAAAGAGGGCAGTGAACCACACAACCTGAAGGTAATACTCGATTTAGTATATCACAAAACTTGCAAAATAACAATTTGTTGACGATTGATCTTATTTCAATCTATGGAATGTAAAATTGGTTTATGGCTAGCTGAAAGAACGCCTCAGTCTTTTTTCGGTTTACTTATCAATATGTTCGTATTCTATTGTAGGCTGTATATAGTGTCATTTTATAACAGCGAGCACAATTCAGTTTTCCTGGAAGGACACCTGTCTTTCTCAAGGATACTTCTCATAGTACCGCTACCTACTTGTAATGCTTGGCAGATTGGCATAATAATTATTCAATTACAAAACAATCATATCGTCTCTAGAAGCATAGTATATTTGTCTGTCATTGTTAACAGGTGGACAGACGGACGGACAAACAGACAAACGTGAGCTGCCAAACTGACCTTGCCCGAGGTGGATATACCCTTCCATAGACTGAAGTAACATATGACGTAAACACCGAGCAGACACAGCACGATCTGCCACTGGACCGCTCCGGCCTCAAATATCCCGTTACTACGGTGCAGGCCGAGAAAACTGCGGCTGGAATGGACCAAAATTACACGTTTAATATTGGCAAAGAAATTGAAGATCTTAAAACAAATAAGTTTAAATATTTTTTGAACTTTTATATTTCTACGCCTACGAAAAATGGAAAAATAATAATAACTTGGCAAAACAATTAAGGATCCCTGTACCACTGCCAAAATCTGTAACTACTCACAGAGTACTTTTTTAGCTTGTCTACAGCTGTAATAGCTCATTTCGGGAAAGAAAACCACCTTGCAGGACATTTATGAAAAAGTATTTAGAGATGAAAGAAACAAAGTTTTTAACCAGCAATTGTGTCCCGAATGTAATAATTCAGTAGGGTTGGATTTGGCTTTGAACCTTTGTCTTCAGATCGTTATTCCGTCTTTGCGTAATGCAGAGTTATCTTCTCTTGAGAGCAGGTATTGATTGTTACGTCATTTGTTTGTGAGAGTAACGTCATCAATTTTTGAGAAAACGACCTAATTTTCTCACACGAACCAATGACGTAACAACCAATACCTGCTCTCAAGAGAGGATAACTCTGCAATACGCAAAGACGGAATACTGTCGCTCTGCCCGACTACGCTACTATGTAAACGGATTTGCCCTTGCCCTTCTGCTACAGTAAATATCCAAAAACGAACTAATGGGGAGGTTACTGTATTTAAGGAAAACCATATTGCAGTGGGACATAGATTCCTAAGCAAATAGATGTGTATACTCACACAAAATATTCCTCGGCTGGCGAATATCGGGGTATTTTTGTAACGTTTTTTACTGTTTCGTTCAATATTGATCCAACCGTGGACATCACAACAGCTATGTTTGATGAAGTGGAGGTAAGTTCGTCAGTCATATTGAAACTAGAGTTATCGGCCTTTGTTCTATTTATACCGTCGTAACAGAACTCTGTATTCCATTCGTTACCGCATGTTGCCCAAGGGAGCTCACTCGTGAATGATCTGATCAAATAATGAAGGGCCCAAGCAATGATGACGTTATAGAAAAAGTCTGTGTAAAATGCTATCAACACTACCGCCCATCCGATGCCTGTAACATAAATAATAAGATTACACATCTCGAGTTAAATTAACGAAACGAAATCTAAATTATAATAGGCACATAAGAGATCAATCATTAAGTGAAAGTTCTTACATTTTTCTTCGCGATAATTAATTTTACAGTTTGCTGGGGACATTTCCTCCCATCATCGATAATATCCATATATTCACCCGAGGGTGATTTCGCCCTTTGAATAGTTTTTACTTTGATTGTTTTACTGGTGTATTATATTTGCAGACGTGATAAATTTGCACTCATTACAGGGACCGAAAAAAACCTAAGTTAAACAGCAGCGAACATTTCTATATAAGACATATAAAACGATGCAGAACAAGAATTCACTAATGACTATTGAGCCTCGCTTAATTGGTTATGGTGAATTCGGAAAACTTCTCGCTTTCTTTACGAAACTGATTACAATATCATATGTAAAAAATCGTATCAGTTTGTTCTAAATGGGATTCATGCTGTTTTAAGGTAGCTATGTGCGGTGCAGGATGTCAAATTTCAACCGTTCCATTCAAACGTTTAAATATTCTACAGTTCGGTTAGCTCATATATTTATATTTCTACTGCAATTCCTCTATAGGCTTAACCAGAAGCCGCTGATTAAATCATATAGTCCTATCAGCGCTATTTCTTCTGTTTAAACCTATAGAAGAATTGCAGTAGAAATATAAAAGCAAACATTTTGGTGACATTAGGCTATTCCAGGAATCTCGTTGGCACTGATGACACAGACACTGCAATATCGAAACATAAGGGTATGCTGATACTTAGATCAATAATAACTATCAAATATATAATGTAAATATATGTATTGAACAGCGTTTTTAACCTTTATGCCGGTATGAATATTTACAAAATGCCGTTAGCAATCCTTATTTCAGATCAATCATTTGCAAAGGTAGATTTGAAGAGTACGCTGTGCCAACCTTTGACCTATGCACACCGGATGGTGTGCTTACCTTTAAATAGTGGACACAGTCTTTCCCAATAAGTAATGACGCGCCCGTTGGCGCACCTTCATTTGAACGATTGACACAGTTTGTCCCAAACATCATGCGTATGTATTCTTACCTTTGAACAGTGGACACAGTCTGCCCCAACAAGTAATGGCACCGGATTTGTTGTACTGACCAAGAGCCAGCTCCATATAAAACAACGGTATGCCTCCCATTATCAACATTAATCCATACGGAATCAGAAAGGCCCCTGAAATTACAAAATGGAATTTTGTTAAATCAAACACACTGCGGAAAAAATAAATGTTCAGCAACATATCAACCCGAATGCAATAAGAAGGATTTACGAAATGGTAAAAAGTGTAATGTTATTTTGAAATAACTAAGATATCCTGATTTCAATTGAAAATAACTGTTACGTACTAGAAAATTCAAAAACAGGATTTTGATTTTTTTTTTTTAAATAGGTCAAGATTATGAGAAGTGATTTCGTCAATAAAGGGCATCTTTTCCAAAAACGTAATTCACAACTTGCAAAATTATTGTATCCGTTTCCTTTCGTTTCATTCGTTTCTTCTTTGTAAACATTGTGATAAAACATCCCTGTACAGTCTATAATTTTAACTTATCACGTGACAAAATAGACCAATCAGTTTGAGGCACACAAACTTACCTCCACCATTTTTGTAACATAAATACGGAAACCGCCACACGTTGGCTAGATCCACAGCGAACCCGATAACGGAAAGAAGAAAATCCGCCTTTTTGTTCCAAGTTTCCCGCTCCTCTGGTTGATCAACCTCCATACCCGGGGACTTCTCCAGGAGAGTACCTATAACGAGAGAAGGGAACATTACAGCAAAGCCTCGATACAACGCCACTCATACCACGTGCTACCTCATTTACTGCCAGTGTATTTCAATGTATCTTTTCCCTTTTCTTAACAGTTCCTTTGTAACTGTCCCCTGATACATCGGGAAACCTTCCAAAAACGCCAAATTCTTATAGACAGCTGATGGCAGGATAAAGAGGTTAACTCTATATACTTTACATCAATACTTTTTTGTGATCATTTATCATAATCTATTATGCTAAAATGCATTGTTCTATTTGACTTTTTTTCATAATCGGCACTTCTCGCAATAAGTGTGAAAAATATACTTTACGAAACATGAAATGTGTTTGGTTAATATTAAGTCAAATAAGTTTTATGTGGAATTCTATCAATGTTACAGTTTCACTAAAACTCGATTTTTGATATTCTTTGTGCAAGAACTCAAACTGCTCAGAGGTATTCAAAAGGTATACAAAGCTTGGTTTTTGCAGATTCAGAGATAATGAATATATTCATTTCCCTTTTTTTAGCTTTTCCCCCTCAGCGCCCCTCGACTTTAAGGCGATGTCCCAAATATCGCCCGTTAACTTTATTGATAGTAATAAATGAACACTAAAAACCGCACATCTCATATAATGCGTTCCGACATTTTGGTATTGATCAGGAAGTGACGTCACAAGTTTCCGGTTGTGGAACAAACAAGTAAAATGGCCACATTACACATATTAGAATCTGAAGTAACATTTTCCGATCCAACATAGAATTGATTAATAGCCCAAAGTGTATTGCCACAATCAAAATCAAATGACAATTAAATCAAATAGTTTCTAAAGGGTTTGTTTACAAAGAATATTTGTGCCGACAACATCGAGATCACATTCACTGCGGGAGGTTTGCCTAGTATGCGTATTCCCGCAAAGTCTCATCAACCTCACACCTCTTTAATGAAATGTTTTGATAAAGATCGTTTAAAAAAAAGACAATTCTAGACGTTAAAAAAAATCGTTCTAGATATTTGACATAAATGTAAGAAGAAAATAGAAGAAGAAATAATAACTTGAATAAAGCATTTTGAGGAGGGAAAGAAGTTGAACAGTTTAAATTGCCGGTCAGTTAAGCAAACAATACTTTGACTCGTGGGACTTTTGTCGGAGATCTGACTCAAATGATGGTTGTTATGGGCTACCATGTGTAAAAGTCGGCATCCGAATGTGCAGTAGCTGTTTGGTCATCCGGACCTCCCCGATCTTATAACGACCGCAACAAGATTACTTATCAAACATATTGTAATAAATTGGTTGATTCAATTTCAAATTGTTTATTCAGAATTATCCTGATAAATCACTATATTAAGAGCCTAGTGTGTTGTAAATATGTTTTCAATCGACAAATTGTTTAAATATTGGAATAATTGACAGTGAGCGTTCAGAGACTGGAATGATTTGAAGTCAAATTAAGCCAGTGGAGCAAGTAATATACTGAAATGTCGGACGAATGTCCTGTGGATGGCAAGATTTCGTTCCGAATATTTTCCCCAGCAAACTCTGTGGTGTTGTTTCCAAATATTTTTTATATATTAAGAGATATTAGATATGTTTTACCTTCGACAAATTTTGAAGAAATTAAATTTTTGGTTTTCCTTAAATTTTGTGTAATTTTAATTTAAATTTTAATAAGAAAATAACATTGAAAAAATTTTCTGCCAGATTTTTGCTGACAGGAATGAAATTTGAAGTTGCTGAAAGCTTTGCTTGTGCAACAAAAATCATTTTTGGTTGTTTTTATGCTACTTGCTACTCTGAAATATTGAGATTTACAGCACCGTTACTTTAGCTAGAGCGCTAATTAATTAATTTTAACTTCACCAGATCCAGAAGAGCACGAGATCCTTATTTGTCAATTGTGTAAAATTTACGAAACAAAGGCTGTAAATCAACGTAAACATTTGTTTGAACGATTAAGGATCCCCGTACCATTGACAAAATCTGTAACTAAGTATATTTTTTTTCAGACATTAATATACCTTTGATAAATCGTTTCTGAAATACAACATACATTGCGGGACCTTTCTGAGAAAGATGAACGAAACAAAATATAATCAACAACAGTGTTCTTAAGTCTTCCGTGAGCTAATCGGTCAACGGAAGTGAAACTGTTTGAAACGGTGAGGGTGTAGACTATGTACAAATGTTACAGGGATTTGCCCGCGCATGTACTTTTGTTGAGCTTCGCACTGTATTTGGTAAAGGTGTGAGCGTGTGAGAAATATGTCTTATTTTGTATGATATTTGATTTAGTTTGATATGGTTTAATGGGAATTATACATTGTCCAATTAGCCTTACGTGAACCTGCATCCTTAAGAGGATGACTATAGATAAATAATAAAATTATAGTTTATTATGACAGTAGCTGTTGTCTTTAATGTAAACCAAACAGATTCCCCCTTAAATAAATGCAGTTGTGACCAAGCTTGCAGTCTAAAAGAACATCTTGTATCGTAACCATTGCTCCGCCTGGCCGTTATCTGTTATTTATTTATTTTGTTTATATATTGAATAAATTTTTAAAGTCATACTTTGAATGGAAGGCTATGTTAATATGATTTTATTAGAGTAATTTAATTCCTTATTTTATTTATTTTTATATATATTTTTTTTTTATTTATCTATTATCTATTCAGACTTTAAGTTGAAGGCTATGCTAAGAGAATTTCATTAAAGAAATTTATGTATTTTTAATGTATATTTATTTATTTATATATTTATCTTTTTATTCAGACTTTAAATCGAAAGCTATGTCAAGATGATTTAATTAAAATGATATTAAGATTATAACTTCGCTGTAAATCTCTTTTACTACAGCATAGTCGCCACCCCTTTAACATTCCGGCTCTATTTTGCGGCTACAGTTCAATATCAGCCGCGAACAGTCAGCACGAGCGACGAGTAGCCTTCATTAGAACGACGTCCAATAACCCGCATGGAGAAACCATATACACTAATGGTCTGTATTCTCGGAGAACAAAAAGAAAAGCTCAGATTTCATTGATTAATTAAGGCAACAAAACAAATTCAATCTAACACCTTTGTCGTCCGTAAAACGATACAACTCAAGTTCTATTTGTCTAAATGACTAATTTATTCTCACCGTGTTGGTTTTTCAGTGGGGCGCCGTCTGGCGGTATTGATATCCATTCAGCTACTGTTGTACAGAGATGATTTACATAGAGACTCGTGGTATCATTAACATTACTATCATCTCGATAATATTGATAAGCAATTAAGAATGTCAAAGAGTGCGCGGGATACACGAAGGGAACCTGATGCGGCCAGGGTTTCCTTTCAATATGGTTTCAATATTTGATCTTGGCGATTTCAATGTTTTGTACATACAGTTAACAAAACATTTTAAAACCAGTTTTTCCAGCAGTTTATGACAAATTTTGTCCAAGAATAATCAAAATTGCCATTTACTACTGCACCAACAAGCGAAGCGGAAGATCATACGTTGAGAAGCGCTATATATCTCAAACTTACTACTTTATTTGCATATCTCGTTCTGCATTGTATGCATAGCATTCATCACTCTGTGCTCAGGGACTGTAGAAAAATGTATGACCGACTGCGCCCCACTACCTGATCGCATGCAGAAACTATTTTCATGGCACCAAAGGAATCGGGGGTTTCCGTCTGTGTCTTCTACTCAGGAACATCGAACAAACCAAACCTCGTCTGCGGTATCAATCGCAATACCTTCTGTTCGTATTGCAGAGTTAACTTCTCTTGTGAGCAGGTATTGATTGTTATATCATTTGTTTGTTAGAGTAACGTCATCAATTTTTGAGAAAACGACGTAATTTTCTCACACAAACCAATGACGTAACAATCACTACCTGCTCACAAGAGAAGATAACTCTGCAATACGCAAAGACGCACACTCCTTGTCCTTTCCTTTCTGCTAATTTCTACAACTTGTTGCTTTCATATGTCTTTTGGCACCGCTGTGTCAAGTTACGCATTTCTACTGCCTGGTCCAGTATGGCCATTTTGTTCACAGTAGCATAATACTCCACCCGGCTATTCTAACAACAGGCTGACTGGTCCTAATCGCCGCACATTCAAAGCTGCAAGGCAAGAAGTGAGCAATGAGACCCATGTTTATGGATTTCGGTCTGTCTTAGTCAATGACCAGAACCCTTAACCTTCACAACTTCGTCGAATGCTCATCACCGAGGATAAACGCGACGTATTGCCAGGTAAAGCGCTATAAAGAGAAACCATTTTCAAAGGAGAGAAAGTAAGGAGCAATTGAAGCATACGTTTTCAATAAAGTTAATAAATTAATCAACATAAAGCATGAACGTTGTGGAATTTTACAAATCTGTAAATTTCTAGCCGATTTTTACTTTTGTTTATTCTGCTATATTAATGAAGTCCCTACTTCCGGTCTATAGCGCAGTCTCAATGAAATGGCATGTCTCGAGGACCAGGCGCATAAATCCAAATCTCACATACATCCGACATGGACTATTGTCTCAGTCTGTCTTGCTTTGCATCCTACCTTTTCTTTATTTCACTCTTTCGGGTTTTTTCGCATAATCTTGTCTTTTCTATCCGCCACTTGTTCTTTCTCTCTGTGACATTTTCTATTCTCTCACTCTTTTTTTTCCCTTAAATAGTTTTGTTAATCTGTATTTTTTTTGTAACCTGCCTATAACTATTTTGCTCGTTATTAATTTTTTCTGCTTTTCCTTTTTAAAATATTTCCCCCTGGGAATAGCATAACCAAAAACAATATTTTGTTTATGTTTTTGTTTGTTTGTTTGTCTTCTTATTATGATGCTTCTTCTTTCTTTTTCATTCTGTCCATTCTGCTGTGTTATCATTCTATGTGACTGTATTTTAATCATTTTCTTATTTATTCATTATTCACGTTCTTTCTTTCTTTCTTTCTTTTTACCTTGAATGGCCATGAATGGATTCAACGGTATGTCCATATATGGGTAAACGCATTGCAAAGCTGTATTGCTTGAACTAGAATTAATCTCATCGATTGGCTTTATAAAAGATATGACTGATTCATATACGTGTGAACATTCACAAATCATTAATGAATTTCACATTAATCAATATCTTTGTAAGGAGTTGAGATTGTCTCCGGAAGTTGAGTAGACCAGACCGGAAGTCTTCGACCTTCAATGAACGCGAACAAAGCTAGTTCAATGAGTTCGGAATGTTCGTTGTATGGTTTTATCCTTGCATATAAGTTACAGGAGTGGTAGGCACACCCTAACATAGTTATTATCACGGCGGAGACATCAAAGGGAGGTGTGCATGCTCGCGTCTTGTAGGAATATGGTAATTGGAAACTAGCGCGGGATTCCTTTAGAAGTAACTACAGGTGACGCTGAACGAAACAGGGACTACTTCATTTTAATAGGCGATGGGGTCTCCCGGGAATAAGGTGAAACTAAACTTTACACGTCATACTTCTGTAGAACATCTTCTTGTGGGAATAAGGTAATAACGGAATAGAAGCGGTGGTCTTGCAGGAAAAAAATAAATTTTGAAGAGGCACAACAAGAGGGATTAATATGATTTGGAATATCTTGTTTCATAATTGTTGACAATAAATGACGTTTACATTTAAATATCATAACATGTCTTGAAAGGTACCAATGGAAAATCTTTGGTGGTATTGATCTGATTGGCGGTATGGGTATCGGATTTTCAGTTGAAAATGCATAAAGTTAGATTTACTTTTATCACATGACTACACTGCTATGTAATAAGACACACACAGTATTTTTCTTGTGTATTGCAACCACTTTGACATCAGGAGTAAGACAATAGGTATGATGTCATAACATTGTGTTGCCATAATGCTCGGTTTTATTTAAGTTGTATTTATTTAACGTTCCATTAACATTCAAGGTCATTTAATGACGTGCTTCCATGTGTGTTATGATTTATATTTGTGTATGTGAGCTGGAGCCTAGGTGGTTTGTTGGTGTATTTACCTCCATGTGATAGCGCGGATCTGACGCCGACTTTATAGTGCTACCTCACGGACATATGATGTCGAAGGCGCCCAGCACAGCATTCCGCTCGGTCACATTATACTGACAACGGGCGAACCAGTTATATACTGCGATCACCCTAAATGCTGAACATGTGACATGGAATAACAACTTCCGTTTTAATTGAGGACTTTAGTATATCCCGGCATGGGTGCAAAACCGATTGCCTTCCTCAGCTTGGGGAACGTTGGACCCTAAAGCCAAAAGTGAGGTATTGCCAAGAAATGCGTTAAGAACAATTATTGAGTCAGAAGTAGAGAAAAATATAAATACAATGCTTGGACGTCTTATGGATATTAGGGTATTCGTTTTCAAATTAATGTTTGATATTCCATTCTGCATACCGACATAAATGGCTAAGAATCAAACGCTCGAATGACTTGGATTGCTGCTCTGACAGTATCGTTCAACGACGACATAGACGTTAAACACAGTAATTATCATTGATCGTTTTTAATTCCCACCAAGATGACTTCATGCTCAAAATGAAATTAACTTATTTTTTTCATCTTTAAATTTTCACGCTAGTATGAACTGCCGTGACAGCTGCAATTATTTATTACATTGTATTTTCTATAGTTGAAGTGTACGCTATGAACATGTGCAAGAACTAGCCTACAGGAACACAGCAACCACGTCCGCCGTGGACATTTTTAATTTCATAATAAACCACCCTATATTTGATGCGTTAGGACGCTCAAAGTCGTGGCCCTTCATTACATACGAAATAACAGAAGTCTTAACTATCTATCGTTTCCCGTACAAGTACAGTGGCTGTAAATTTTCCGTGAATTTCTCCTATTTGTGAAGTGACCGGCAGCTCGGAACCGTTTTATGGACGTTAGTTTATAAAAGTGTGGCCGTTTCTTTGTTAGGCAGCCATGCGAGAAAAGTAATGAGGCAAAGGACAAGTTAGACCTCGCTGGCACTGTCACGAGGGACGAGCCTCGTTATCGCTGAGCGACGAGCCTTGTTTTGTAGAGCGTAGACGTTACCTTCAAGATCCCTTTCGTCAATATCCAGTCTGCTTCAGCAGTCGTTGAATCAAAATGTTGACTTCTCCACAAAAAATATGATTCATACCTTAAATTGCATGATACGGGAGTTAAGATCAATATCTTGTCAGAGAACCGACAATCATGTTCATTTTGTTTTAAATATTAATCAATAATGTAGATTTCAAATTTATTGCAATGATTCGATTAAGCTTGTAATGCTTTAAGCAATCGGACCATGGAAACAAACCTCCGTATCTCAACTTTTCATAGATGTTGTTATTAAATTAAGCTTTTACTAAGTGCGAAGTTTGTTACTATGAATAGAAAATAAAGTAGGTTACCACATTTCACCCTTTTGAAAAGTACGATGATAAATTGAAGATTTATTCTTTCGTTTCGTGTGACTACTGGATATGAATTCATTCGAAATTTCTATCGACAGGACAAGGCTATCCTCTTGACGGGATTTTTTTTAAACGCGATCCCTTTTTCCTTTACACGAAAATTGAAAGGAACGATCCGACTAATTATTGTAGTAATATAAACATTTTTGCATAACTGTTCATTTTTTTTGTTTTTGTTTTTGTTTTTGTTTCTTGTTGTTTTTTATTTGGGGGCGGAAGGGAGGATTGAACGAGAATCATATATCTAAATGTATTTATTCAATGAATTGTGTGAACATATTTGATTTATATTTAACTTACAAAGGGATGTTGATTTCGATTTCTGAATATTTTAGTATAAACGTCTTACATATAATAGGAAATTGGGCAACAGGCAAAGTCTATGGCAACCCTCTCCTTAAAAGACAAACAGTGTATACTGTACATATTATACAGCATACTGATGGAAGTATAAAACACTCTTATAAAAATAATATTAAAATATATTAGCTAGTTTTGGATCGCCAATTCCTATTATTACAATAGAAAACGAAAGTTGCTAAAACAACGGCCAACCAGTTAGAAATATCCGTGCACTCACACCATTGTGAGCGGGAACCCTTTCAGACAGTTGACAAGCCGACCAGCGTCCGCAGTAATAATTATACAAATATAAACGTCTTGTATACATAATAAATATATGAATGATTCCAAAGATTAATAATCAACTCCAGAATAGAATATTTTCAAATTAACATCTTTGGCAGCTATACAGAAATGTTTTAACATTCAATAGAATACCGTCACTCCGACAAGATTTTTCAACAATATCTGAAAAAAATTACAGATTTGTGTAAATCACTCTTGTTCGGCCTGGAAGAAGAGCCTAAATGGTCTTTATGTGGACGGACACCGGAGTACCAAGAGAAAAGTCACGTGGTCCGGCAAGTAATCCACCCCTTTCTACATTTAATCGCGGAATCGAACCCCGGTCGTCTTTGTAAAAGGTGAGTGCGCTATCCAAAGCGCCGCCCGTTGGTGAATATGTACATCAGGGTAACCACACATACAGGGAATAGTACTTACCTTGTACCGGTATATTCATTATGGGAGTATTCTGTTCTTTTTCTAAAGTTCCTTTCTCTCCCATGATTGGTTCTTACGTCATACGTACGTCATCAAAGCAGTAAATCTATAAAGATCAACGATAAAATTATTTATAAACGCTAATACTTGAATAATGATTATGATATGGTAAATATGTCATCATCAGCGTTGTGCTAGTTTCATGGGACGGATATTTTAAAGGATTTAATATTGCTTTAGTCGATTTCACGAGTAGGACAATTGAGTTGGTCTTGAGAAGAATTAATCATGGATGGAGGAAAACAAGAAAAGAAGGAAGGAAGGAAGGAAGAGAGGCATTTACGAGATAAACCGTACCAGTCGTCCATGAGGACAAAGTACAGCAATCTTAGACAAAGGTACAGTTCGGGCAGTTTGGTCAGTCAACCAATAAATTCAGTAAAGAACAACTCCATTTTATCATAACCCTCTTCCCAACTCTCCCCCAATTCTACAATAGCTAGTACAATGTCGTGTGTTAACATTTCTATCATCATTAGAAAAATAATCGTTATTCCACAGACTCTTGAAATTACTATTTTGTAGAACAGCTCCACCTGTCGGTGAAGTTTGAAGGAGCTCAATCACGCCGACGTTGGACTATTCCCTGTACGACATGTTTTAAGACGAGTCTTGAATATTTCAACATGTAGGAATTCTGTTTAATTGTCTGTATGGTATTGTTAACGTTCCTTTCTCATCACATTTGTTTCGTTGATATAATCATTTTTATAAACCTGATCAAAGCCATACGTTTAAATGTCTCGCTTTTGTTTTTTCTGATCAAGTAGTGCATAAGTTTCCGTCAATATAATGTCAATCGATTTAAAACGACAGAACAAAAAGGCCATTAATAAATATATATATTTAGAGAGAATCATTAAAGTTGATATTATGACAAACGTTTCATTTTTTTTTCTTTTTGTTATCAATGAACGGATTTTAAGAACCTGGTTTTGTATGAATCGATAAAGAACTTGATCATACCAAATATGTCAAAAGAACACAATTATCTTATAATGACCAACAGAAATAGCTGAAAATAGCGACAAAAAACGTCAATATGGCGACCTTTTAAACGAAATGCATGAATATCTAGGTAAATCAAAACAACTCCCATCAACGCATGACATAAGGTTAAGTTTTTCTCTGGTTTTCGATAAAAAGGTAATTGTTCTTCTAATATTTCCGATAATAGCTTATTATATCCGTACAATATCCACCAAAAAAACCCAAATATTTTAACGTCTCTCCTGCAGGTCTGGGATCAAGAAAAGAATGCAAACTGTTACCCACTATATACATGTATCGTAAGAGGCGACTAATGTGTGAGCACCTGCAGAATTGAGGACTTGCTTTTGTGCCCTCTATTTGGGGACACAAAAGCGACCAATCTTTTTATTGCTTTCTACTTGTAACTACTTTTCACTTCCTAGCACCATGCTTTGGCAACAACTCGCTTTTAGCTTTAATGTTGAACGTTCACCCATGTGAGGAAGGCCCCAGACCGGGACATACCAAAGTCCTTAGAAATGGTAGCTGTTATTCCCCCCTTGACGTTCAGCATTTAGGGCAATATCAACAACTGGTTCACCCGCTGTCAGTATAATGTGACAGCCCAAAAACAGCTGAGCTATGCGCCTTCGGTATTTCAGTAGAATAGCACTATAAAGTCGGCATCAAATCCGCGCTATTATGTGGACGCAAATACGCCAACATACACAGACTGCTATAGGAAAAAAGAATTTTCTCTAAAATTTTTTTTCAATTGATGAAAAGGGAGACAATGTGATTAAGATGATTTGCAATCATTGATTATCAGGGTTTTGTCAAACAATTCTATCAGATGTTTGAGAATTGTAAAATTTACTCAAATACGGTCGGTTTTTAATTTCAATTTAATTTAAACTGACAAAATACATGATTAATCACCATTCATTGACTTTTTGCTATCCTTTAAGTACATTTGTACTATTCAATCAGTTTGCGAATACTCATGAGAAGAAATGCAGCGATTGGCAAGAGAAGACCAATTCCAGTGTGTTTTATACCATCGCAATGGTGTTAGAACAGCAAAGCTTTGTTACGGAGGATGAGAAGGACTATGTATAAGAACGTTAGTACGTGTTTCCCAATCATCACTCTATCACATGCCTTGGTAATTGTACATATTTAATCGACCTCAATAAAAAATGGTTTTAACAAAAACCAAATGTTCGATTATTCTCGATTATGTTGATAAAAAATGTCATGATATTTTAAATACATGTATTTTAACTTGTATAAAAATACACAAATAAATAAATGAATTATCCAGTTAAATAATAATACAGTTCAACCAAGAGTCAAAACTTAAATCTGTTCTATTCTCTAACACTGATCTTTATGTAATCTGCGACAATATTCGTTGCACGATATTCTGGGTTAGACTTTTCCCCTTCGTACTTTAAGTTCGTCGTAACAACAAGTTACTGCTCATGAAATTTTGCCGTTGTCGAAATTAGATACATTTAGTGAAAGCATCTGATTAATTGTTTTAATCTTCATTTTATTGCTTTCGTTGGAAGCAAATTGATCGTTGTTCGTTTGTAGGATGTCGTGTCGTCTGGAAGTAAACCCGCTATGAGGTTTGATGACTAAGGATATCGAATTCGGCTTTATATATTTTTGGTGAAGCTGTATTCACCGCCAGATTCAATACTTACCTTTGATTTTCCGTATGTTGTTATTTAATATGTCTGATATAACTGTTTGCGACGATGATTTATTAGAACGCCGGTCCATCGTGGAATTTACTAGCATATACATGTACCAATTTTAACGGCTATGTATAATGGAGTAGTAAGCGACATATGTAAAAACTAAATGAGATTTTTAGTAATATAAAATGTGTTCAGTGCCCTTTTTAATTATATATAGATTATACCTTTAGATCGCTTAAGAAAGATAAACAATATGCATCATATACTTATTCAAACTTTCCGTATAGCATATTTATTATTGGTCATATTGTCTGTCTTCTTGTCATCATTTTTTACCATGTTTTGTTGAAATATTATTATTATTAAGTTGATTTGCTTTGCCGTGATTATAAAGGAATACTGGCATTAACACACAAGGACAATTGGAAATCAATTACGCTTACTTTGTCAGCGAAGTGACGTTTTAAGCCAAATTCCGAAGGATGAGAGTCTATAAGCCCCCTTTTTGGGCCCTGGTATATTCAAAGATGTCCTGTTTTATCACATGTGGTAAAAATTTGACCGAAATCGGGTTTTTGGTGGTGCCAAAATAGGTAGGGTAAATCACAAATATAATTTGCCATTTTTAAAATGAGCTTCAATCCGAAATGTAATACAATAGGACATCTTTCACAAAATAAATGAGATGAACATCCGAATATACCGGGGCACAAAAAGGGGCCTTATAGACACTCATCCTTTACATTTGAAAAAAAGTAATTGGGATTACAATCATTTTGGTTTATGTCATATAAAAGGGATCACTCTTAATTCAACGAGACATGAACAATTTTTTCCCATTTAATTAACATATTTGAGTTTCACCAGAATTACAGCTAATGAACATACGACATAGTTATGAAAAGCCTGGTAAGCTTTCCGAGAAATTAACTGAAAATTGGCTTCTGACATAATTTCATTATCATTGAAATTCAAAAGAAAAACTGAATTTAGATCAATTCAGAGTAAATATCTGAATAAAACAAAGACACTAAAAATGTTAATTTAGAGACTTTTAAAAATATTTGTATTAAACAAAAATAAAAGATAAAAATAACAAGAGTCCCAGGGGCCTTTATAGCTCACCTGGTATTTTATTTTTCATTTTAAAACCTGCTGAGTACTATACAGGTTTATCAAAGGAGTACAATAATCAAAGTTTCAAGAAGAACTACATATAAATTTGTTTTGGTGGGAAAGACACCAAGAAAATGAGTTTCCATGTTATGTCACAATTTTCCTCTATTTCCCCTATTGGGGCTCAATTGCACCTTTTTATACAAATTAAACAAATCAAATCCCTTCATTTGTGCAGAGGGGAAAATATTTGTCTCTATTTTCCCTATTGTGCCCACTCCTCTGCCCCTGGGGGGGGGGGGTCACATCCTCCATTTATACATATTAAATTCCCTTTGCATGAAAATTTTCTACAACAAGTTTGTTTAAAATCCCTTCAACGGTACAGAAGGAGAAGGATCTTTATTGTTTTCCTCTATTTTCCCTAATGGGCCCACCAATCTACCACAAAGAAGTGGGCCCACACACATCAGTTTATACAAAATTGATTCCTTTGTCCCTAAGCATGCTTCAGACTGCATTTGGTTTAAATCCCCTCACTTGTATAGTAGGAGAAAAAATCCTCTTTTCCCCTTTTGGGCCCCGCCTCTCTGCCCTCAAAGGGGTCACACCCTCCGTTTGTACAAACTTGTTGCTCCTTTGTCCAAAGATGCTCTAGAACAAATTTAGTCAAAATCCTTCTACTGGTTGAGAAGAGGATTTTTAAAGATTTACCTATTTTCCCCCTATATTGCCCCACCCCTCTGCCCCAGGGGGGAGGGCATACCCTCTGTTTATACGAAACTGAGAACCCTTTGGCCACTGATATTCCAGACAAAATTTGGTCAAAATCCCTTCATCGGTACAAAAAGAGAAGGATCTTTAATGTTTTCCTCTATTTCCCTTAATGGGCCCCACCCATCTGCCCCAAAGAAGGGCCCACACACCTCAGTTTAAACAAAATTGATTCTTTTGTCCCTAAGCATGCTTCAGACTGCATTTGGTTTAAATCCCTTCACTTGTATAATAGGAGACAAAAATCTCTCTATTTCCTATAGGGCCACACCCTCCGTTTATACAAACTTGAGGCTCCTTTGTCCAAAGATGATCTAGAACAAATTTGGTCAAAATCCTTCTATTGGTTGTGAGAAGAAGATTTTTAAAGATTTACCTATTTTCCCCCTATTTGGCCCCGCCCCTCTGCCCAAAGGGGGACCATACACTCTGTTTATACAAAACTGAGAACCCTGTGGCCAATGATGCTCCAGAC